TTTATCAGCCACAAGAAGTAGCCGATATAGACCATAGAAGCGATAATATAATTTAGAACCCAATTCTCAAAACACTGTACAATATTCACCATCTCAACATGAACCCATTATAGCTGCTGAACTATAGAACTGATGGCTATCTACTAAAGGGATGTTTGCAATCGATCGACTGCACGGTTGGTGCGGTGGCTGGGCAACTGGCTGCCACGCAAAGTGTAATGGATTCGATCCTGTACGAAGCAACTCTTTGTGTGATCCATCAATTGTTGTTTCGGGTCTGGGTGTCAGTGTATGTGAACTGGTATGTTGGTAAACGCACCCACGACACAGGACAAAATCATAGTGTGGGGCAACGTTTTTAAATAAAAACATCCCCAAAGTCAAAATAATTTATTTCAATTAGACCAGATAGGCACTATTGAACGTCAACAAAAAATTTAAAGTGAATCTATTGGCTCATTCCATCCATATATAGATTCCTATGGAGAAGAACGAGCAAGCAACTCCATAGGTTACTCTTCTTCAATCAGGTTCACAATACAATTCTCTAGTTACATAGTTTTGTTGTTTGGATTGTGCAAGAACAGTGTAACACTAAGTTAAGTATTTATTAAGTTAATATTAAGTCCAGTCGAAGAGATAAAAAAGTAACCTTAAAGGACAGTAAAAAGATCGGCAGGCGGATTAAAAAAAAATGTTCGTAACACGTCTCATTTCTTGTTATGTGTTTACCTTACGAAGCCTAGATCTTCTGGGTGTATTTGTTATGGTATACGTGAATTCGGCTCTATTGAGCGAGGTCGTAGGGAGAAAGTTGCGTGAACCACTCATATGAGAACATACAAGGCTAAATACCCGTACGAATGGGGTGCAGTCACAGTGATCGCGGATTGGCAATTAAGGACGATTTTACATCAGATTTACGTAACAATTCACAATTTTGAATCTATATCAAACCAAAAAGATTATATACATATAGCCTTTGACGGGAATGGCAGAAAATTTATGTAACAATGTCGCTATCAGTTTCTCAAATAGCTTAAATAAAAACTTTCTGATAAATGTTACTAACGTAAACCGCGGTTCAAAGAAAGTAATTTAAAGACATAAAAATAAAATGTCTGACTTTTATTACACAAATAAAATTTTAATCGCATATAAAGTCTGTAAACTTAGAACAAATGGTTGTTAATTCAGAAACAACATTAATTTAATCACACATTAGCTGATGTAAAGTTCAAAGATCAGACTTAAAATATAATATTAATAAATAAAATGTATTCATAATTCAAAAATGCACAATACAAAATATGTCTTAACCCTTTGAGTACCGTCATTATAGACACAATTAAAGAACAATAGGTTGCGGTCACCGGTGTCCTCGCGGTGTTTGACAGTTTAAGTAAGTAAAATTGATCTCATAAAGTTAGATGCCTGCACTAGGACAATCCTGTATCGCAGACGAATATGCTTAAGAAAACAAGGAAGCTTCTATACCTATCTTTGAACACATTTGTGATTTAGAAAACTATACACCAAAAAAAAACCTTGCAAAATTTTTGCCAGTCCACCATTTAGGTACCCTCTCTCACTAGACCCACACCTCAAAAACAATCACATGATCACCGCGTCACACAAACGACCGTCATACGACATATTTCGTACAACACTATGACCGTTGCAATCCAACGCATCTTTAGAGCGAGCTATTTATATACCTACGTTACATAATGAGACAGTAATACATAACACATGTAACTGTCGTGGCTAGAGATAGGAGGAAATAGAATCAATCAGCTGATTGGCAATGAACTACTTAATGACATTGTAAGTGGGATGGCTAAGATTTTCGTGTTGGAAGACTGATTGTAACGCACATAATACGAACAAATCGGGCATATAAAATTACTGTATAAAAACGTTAATCTATACATATAATAAAATCGTAGAAAAGTCAAAGCTTGTACAGTTTGACTTTTCTACGATTTTATTGAATAATTTTTTTTAAATAATACTTGGGGCATGATCTACAGTCAGTATTAGCAGCATCAGTAGCACCATCAGCATCAGCAGCAGTATCAGCTTCAATAGTCAGTCAGTACTATTGAAGCCAAAATTAAACTTTTCAAAATTCTTGTCTGTTCGTCTGTATGTATGTCCAGGATAATCTCAAAAAGTACTGCATGGATTTACTTCAAAATATTTCTTGTAACTAAATGTTACAAGATAATATATAGAAACCACAGTCTAGTCTTGTTTATAAATAAATAAATTTATTAGATGGACACCGAACAGTATTCCCACACGGAGCTATTATATAATAAATCTGTTCTATAAATCTGAATACATTTTGGTAGCAACCCCTTAAGAATTTATAATAGGTAATGTTGATTTAAAACTAAGGCAAGAGAAAAGAAATAAAAAAAAACAATTTAAAATTTTTGTCATTAATTCGAAAGTCAATATCGGAATGCCAATTTTAAGATTTAAAACCATCAAATTAGTAAGATTAATGGTCAATAGTTATTTAGTAAGAAAAATCTTTAAGAATATTTTTAAAGGTACAATACTTAAGTTAATGTTTAAAAAAGGTTATTATTTATATCTTTAAATTGCGTCTTATAAGTGCTGAATATTTAAAAAAATAATTTGAATAAATTAATTAGTAATTTAAATGAATTCTTATTTATTTCAATGGCGTAATTAAATTCAATGTTAGTAGGTGCCTACGTGGTGCAAACCAATAGGCAAATAAATAATAGTGACCAGTAGACAGTAAATAATGAAATATTGTACTAGAAATCATGATGTGGTCAATAGTATAATAGTAAATTGTGCCTACCTACTTATGTACTAAGGTATTGGTTGTAGTCTTTACGTACTGATTAAGACGTACCTTATGTATTATGTGTATTAATCATAATGAATGAGAGTGGTACGTATTTATTTAGTTCCAAATCTAACAACTGAGTAAACATTTACTTTTGTACAATATTTGATCAATTCAGGTATTTTACGATAAAAATACTTCTGCAAAACACAGCCGTCTGGTCGTGTAATCTTACGTAGACAGCTAAAATATAATATATGTGAATTCTAGACACCTACAT